ATGTCATTCAAACATGCTATAAAGTAACTCAACCAAGAAAAGCCTGAAAAACTTTGTCCCATACATTTAAAAAGATGATGATTTAACCTCAATTTTCAGTGACAAAATTTTTATACTTTTTTTGCATCTTTGTTTCTCAATATTAATGCTGTGAAAAATAAGTCCATCACAGATCTTAATTTAGAATCCATAAATACTTTTGATCACTTCATTTCATGACCTCATGAAGCTGAAATTTTATTAAGCTGAAGACTGTTTAACAGTTTTAATAGAAAAATAAAAACATAAGTAGAACAAAACTTGTATTCCAACACTTCACCGTTGTGTCAAAATAAGTGCTATTTAATTGAAATTGGTGAAGTAAGTGCTTAAATAGTTAAATATGAACTGAAAACACAAATACTTCTAAGTAGGCACTGAAGGTAACTATTTGTGAGTGACACTGAGTTCTAGAATGCTATAACTAATGTATCTAAATAGAACAGTGACACTTCCATGGAGAGGATTTTCTGCATAAAATGTGGCCTCCCTGACTCTTAGCAGAGTGCTGGAAAATTCATCAGCAGGAACTCATGACTTGAATGGGAAATCCAAAGGATTCTCTCGGGGAAATAATTTTGCTGATGGACACATGTATTAAGTCAGAAACACTGCTTCTGCTACCTCTGAGCTACCCGAGAGTCTTGTCAAAATAGAATCCAAAATAGAATAGAAGTGTAGGTAGGCCTTAAGAAATTAAAACACACTTCTTGGAAACTTTTCATGGAATTTACTATTTTATACCTGCTACTTGGATTTTCAAACAGTAAAATGAGTTTCAAACTGCTTAAAAATTCATGAATTTGTCCCTAGATTATTAAGTGAAAAAATAGTGTGCAAGTAATTAATTAATAAAGGACATGTTAATATTCTCTAATGGCAGAAGTATCACTGTACTCTTGTTTATTGTGTTGCATGATTTGTAATGTGTTCTACCATAAGTTCACTTTGTATATAAAACTGCGGGATTTGTTTCAGCTGGGTTTCCAATGGAAAGAGAATTGAAGAAATAAGTCACAAAAGCAATGTTAATAAGGGGCAGAAATTCAAGCTCTGATAGTGCATTTTGTACCTGTATATAGCAGAGAACTTTCCAATTAGGGCCAACAAGTAGAAAGCTGATAACTCCAAGCTGAGATTTATAGGGAGAGGTCAGCAGCACGTAATGAGAATTTGGAGCACATACATCCAACTGTAATACCTTTCCTCTAAGTTTAGTTTCTAATGGCAAAAGCTAATGGCTCCATGACAATAATAAATAATGGTGAGAGAATATTCCAGCCTTAGGCCTTGGAAAAAGAACTCTACTACTGTTATACAATTTTCACTAACACTAGCTGATGGAGTAGTTCTAAGCGCGTCAGCTGCACTGGAACGTGAAAACCTCAGTAAGGAACAAACCACCTTTCCATGGAATTCCAGCCTTCCCTCAGTATCATTCACCTACGCGTGTTCCTGTAGAATGAACTGAAAGACAGGAGGGAATGAGTCACTGCCTGCTTGCCCATCACCCGCTATACAGCACTCAGAATGAAATTTTAAAAATTGACGAAGACTCTCTGCTTGGCCAAACTTGAATCAGCCCCCTAAACCTTCTTCTAAGCCAACTGGTACACTTCCATATAAAACCTAACTTTACCAATGCAGGGTCCCACTACGTCAGGATGCTCTTCGAGCTGGATTATCGGATCAGGTTCCTGATCAGGTTCCTCGTCCTCCACCACCCCTCCTGTGAGGGTCTCAACTCCCTGGTCTGCCTTCACCCAGAATCCCCTTTACCTCTGAAATTTCCTCTTGGTTATTTTCTATCCACTGACTCCCAACTTTGGCTATAAATTTCCACTTGCCCATTCTATATTCATAATTGAGTCTATTCTTTCTACCACTACTGCAAGAACTCATTATTTTGGTCCCTATCCCTATTGCAATCATCCTGAATAAAGCCTCCCTTCTGTGTGGGAGCAAACTGTTGAAATCTTTGCTTAATGTATGCTAAACTGATCTTCTGTATATAAAGAGAATCGAAAATGAATCTTGATGTGAATGGAAGGGGAGAGGGAGTGGGAAAGGGGAGGGTTGCGGGTTGGAGGGACGTTATGGGGGGGAAGCCATTGTAATCCATAAGCTGTACTTCGGAAATTTATATTCATTAAATAAAAGTTAAAAAAAATAAAGCCTCCCTTATCATGCTTTAACAGGAATCATTGAGTGCACTTTTTTAAATAAATAATACCTGAAAACACTGGGAATTCATTGACACTTACTCTATACCTACCAGTATGGTTTCATGTTATTTGTTCATAATGTGCACTCTGTGTGTAGTATTACCACTTAAGTCTATCTACAGATATCTACACTGAAAAACACAGACTCCAGAGTTGGCACATATGCAATGAAATGATCCAACCCATGTGCCTCTGGAGAAGTTAATGAACCTGGCTAGGTCTGATGCTCAAATCTATAAAATAGGGTTAATGTTACCGAGGATTAAGTCCAAACAAAATAAAGCACATTGTCTGGCAGAAGTTGTTGTGCTATTATTAAACTGAATGCTTTAATTCGTTGCTATTAGCATCTGCTGTTTTAGTGCACCAAAAAAAAAAAAAAAAAAAAAAAAAAAGGAGCAATGTGTTGACTGACACATTTGTGAAGGTGAGGAACTAGGAATTTTTGGGATTAAATTCTACTGCTAAACATGAAGTAACAATCTCTTGTTTTAAACCTAGACATCATACTACTCAGTGTGGTTTTGTGATCTCATACTAACTAGTATGATTAGTAGTCCATTACCATCTGATGTATCTTTAATCTACTTGGCAGCTATGCCAAACACACCACACTCCCCCAAATGCCACAGCCTCCCTTAAGGCCCAAGAAAACAGAAAAGAGTAAAGTAGGTAGGATAGAACTGAGATTAGCCAAAGTAAATAGAACAATGAGGTATTAACCATGAAGACTGCCTAACTTTGTAAAAAGAAAATAAAGTTCCAGTTTATTGTAGATATTTTGAGCATTAAGATCAGGAAAATGTACTTGAAGATCCTGTCATATCCACCCCAAAATGTACATGCGAATTCTTACTCTTCACTGCAGCTAAGACATAAAAGTCAGGTCTGTTATGCATAGTAGAATAAATTCCCCCCTTTGGGTAACTTTTCATACAAGCCCTGGCACTCCCTATCACCAATGCCCAGCAGCCCATTAACTCACAGTGCTTTCTTTCCACAGCTCTCTCTTCAGACCTTCACTTCCCAAGTGTCTCAGCCACTCACTCACCACCCAAAGTACACCTGTGTTTAGTTATCACTGAGTACAAAAAAGGTCACACTGCTGGCTGCTCCTCTTGGCATTCTACAAAACAAAACAAAACAAGAAACACGCTGAGTCACTTCAGAAAGACTACAGCGCATCTCAATCAGGGGTGATTTTGTCCCCCAGCAGTCAGCAGTGTTGGGAGACACACGTGGCAGTCACAACTGGGAGGAGAGAGCCAGTGCCAGTACTGGGCAGAGGCAAGGAAGGTGCAAGGAGCTCAGTATTTAAGGAGGCACTCACTTGCAGGGTTGTAGAAGGGCAGAATTAAAATTTACAATGAGTGCCTCCTTAAATATTGTGCCCTTGCTGGTTCCTTGCCTAACCCTAGGCCCAGTTGAGCAGAGGCCAGGAATGGTGCTAACCATCTCCCACAAAAGGGATTAGCCAGTCCAAGATACCAACAGTACTGATGTTAAGAAACTCAGGGAGTTTTAAAGAATCTAAAGAAAAACAGTGTTGCAAACTTTGGATTCTCTTCCTTTCTGCAACTTTATCAATTTAAAAATCATACTATGTGAAATGTACTTCAATGTGAAATCACATAATTCTAGCATTTAGGTTTTTTAAAATTTTTAATTTTAATTTTTTTTATTTTTGGCCAGGCAGAGTTAGACAGTGAGAGAGAGAGACAGAGAGAGAGAGTTATAGACAATGAGAGAGACAGAGAGAAAGGTCTTCCTTCCGTTGGTTCACATCCCTAATGGCTGCTACAGCCAGCCCTGCGAAGATCTGAAGCCAGCAGCTGGGTACTTCCTCCCGGTCTCCCATGTGGGTGACAGGAACCCAAGCACTTGGGCCATCCTCCACTGCCCTCCTGGGCCACAGCAGAGAGCTGAACTGGAAGAGGAGCAACCGGGACTAGTACCTGGTGCCCCAACCCGGACTAGAACCCTGGGGTGCCGGCGCTGCAGGCGGAGGATTAGCCAAGTGAGCCAAGGCAATGGCCTAGCATTTAGGTTTTAATCTGTTTATAATCCGCTTAAACTATGATAAAGTGAAATTACTCAACCCTTTCTTTCCTAGCCTTTGTGCTCAGTCTTCCTTCTGTGTCAGTCACTCCTCCTATCTACCTCTAAGCCCAGATGCAAAGCTGCCTTCCAACTGATATAAAAGTGTGAACTTGCCCTTCACAGGAGGACCAAAGTCTCAGATTTCTTTCTCTCTCCCCCCTCCTTCTCTGTTCCTGAGGGTCTTAATAGTATTGTCTTGCATTATGGAAATTTATTCACTTGTTTAATTCTTCCTATCTGACCCTCCTCCTACAAGCAAACATGCACACAAATATGGAGTTGCTTTAGAAAACGCATGGAAGAATGGAATTAAACACAAGTTAATCTGGGAGCAAAAGGTTTGAAATTTATAATATGAATTTTCCATTAACAGTTTGAACACCCCTCATACACACACTAGTTTAAGTTCTTGATGGACACTGACCACATATTCACTCTCCTAACCACCTCTATATAGAACAGAGCTTTAAACATGTAAAACTCATGTGTATTTTAAATGAATCAGTGGAACAAGTATACAGTAATATCTAACAGGCAGCATGAACTAAAGTTCATATTACCTACAGGCTCCATAAACATGAATATAACATTGCACCATTAGACTTTGCTGAGTTCAGTACCTATGTCCTTTACCTAGATCTCTCCATGTATTTCAAGTGTGATATCCCACTATACTTGAGGATTGTCTTCAGGTAACTGACTCAACATTTTGCTACAAACAAAACCTACAAAGTAGAATCTATTTTTGTTCCAGAGATCTATTCTAACAGCAGAAGACCTGATGTCTTTGCTTAAGCCAACGGCCCAAATTCAGATAGAAAATAAATCCCATTACTACTAACAGTTGAAGAAATAGCCTTGTAGTCCACGTCAAACTCTTCAGGAAACCAAACTGATGCAACCTGAAAGCACATTTCCATTGATTTCTACCTTACCCTTGACCCTAAAACTATTCTGAAACATTTCCAGTTTTTAATTGTAGCCAAAAATCTGCTTAGACTGCTTAAGTAGTTAATATACAGCTATAAATATCTCCTCTCAAGAAAGAATACAATACATAAACAGGCAAAGCTCTCAGTTATGTGTCCTTGAAACAAATACAATAAATTTCATGTTTCTAGTATCATGTAATTCTATCAATGACAGGGCACAAATATAATGGCTATCCCATCAAATTATATCCCCTAGTGACACCAAGCCATCTCAGTTTGGAAAGTACACTGTATGGTGTTTGCACAACACAAAATCCTCTAGCGATGCATTTCTCAGAATGTATCTCCGCTGTGAGAGGACACATGACTCTATGCAATTTCCCAAAACGACAAATTAAAGGCCTTCCCTCGTGGATACCATGAAACCACTGACTTTAATCATTTAATCTAACAGGGAATTTGCTTAACCTAGAAAGGTTAAATTCTAGTTTTACAAACTTATGAAAGTTATTGCAAAAAAACATACTGCAAATTCAACACATATATATTTCATTGATGCAATAATTTTCGAAACTTGATGTCACAGAGCTACTCTTCAATTTTCTCACAGTGTTCTTTGGTCCACAACTGTAAGAGAAAGAAACAGCCTCCTTCTGAGAATAGAGCATGAGCCAGTGATTTCCGTAGGCATTTCATTCACTGCTTGTGACAAACTTGATGAAACAGGTTTTATCACCCACACTTTGCAGATGAGGAAGCAATCTTAAAGAGGTTTAGCAAGTTATCAATGTTCATATCACTGATAAATGGCCAGTGCACCTAAAGCATGATCTTTTAACTATATCTAACTACTACCATTTTCAAAATGTTCTGGATTGGTCGTAACCTACAAAAGACAGAAAACCTGTACATATTCTTTTAATATTTATTTATTTGAAAGAGTGACAGAGAGGGAGAGAGAAAGACAGTGAGAGAGAGCAAAAGAGAAAGAGACCTTCCATCTATTGGTTCACTCCTCAAATGCCCATAATAGCTATGGCCGAGCAACAGGGAAGGCAAGAGCCCAGAACTCCATCAGGCTCTCTGACTCGAGAGACAGGAAATCAACTTGGACTACCATCTGCTGCCTTCCCAGGTACCTGTGCGGGAAGCAGAGGTGGAACTCAATCCCGGGCACTCTAGTATGGGATGCGAGGTTTCCAAGCACTGGCTTAACCTGAGGATATCATTTTACAGTCAGGAACATGGAAATGTGATTACAACTTTTTGAGAAAATACTGAATGATAACCAGGTTCTCCAAGCACTGTTCTACTAATGTAATTGTGAAAGGAAAAAGAGACACACAGAGTTAGATGAAAAATATTATGGACTGAATATTTGTGTCCCTCCAAAATTCACATGTTAGAGCCCTCTTCCTCAATATGATGGTATTAGGTAGCAGGACCTTTTTAATGTGATCAGGTGTAGGTGAGGTGGTGATAGTCAGCTCTTAATGATGGAATTAGTTCTCTTATAAGAAGGCACCATAAGCCGGTTAGAGTCCTGGCTGCTCCTCTTCCCATCCAGCTCTCTGCTATGGCCTGGGAAAGCAGAAGAAGATGGCCCAAGTCCTTGGACCCCTGCTCCTACGTGGGAGACCCGGAAGAAGCTCCTGGCTCCTGGCTTCGGATCAGCTCAGCTCCGGCATTGTGCCCATCTGGGGAGTGCACAGGAGGATGTAAGGCCTTTCTCTCTGTCTCTCCCTCTCACTGTCTGTAACTCTACCTCTCAAATAAATAAATAAAATCTTTAAAAAAAAAAAAAGGCACCATAAAATCTGCTCTCCTTCTCCTTCATCCCATCATGTGAACACCCGAGAAGACGGCTGTCTACAAGCCGAGAAGAGGGCCTTCACCAGGAACCACGCACCTTGATCTTGGACTTCCTAGCATTCAGAATCAGACATCCCTCTTGTTTAAGTCACCCAGCTTATGGTATTTTGTTATGGCAATTGGAGTTGACTTAGACTGATAAACAGATATGGAGGCACATAGATAAGCAAACTGACCTCCACATCATATAAATAAAAACAGAAAAAAGTCTTTTGAGAATCTAATGTCGTCTTAAGAGATTATTTCTCTTTCTATCCTACACATGTAAAAATCTACATCAAAGACTAGATGGGATGTTAATTAACTAATTCATTTATATAGTCAGTAATTAAGAACCTATCATATGCCAGTCCCTAAGCTAGGTGCTGGGTTAACAAACCTACACACACTAAAATCGTATGTTTTTCTCTCACTGCATAGTGAGAGAGACAGATACCTAAGCATGTTATTACAGTCAAATGCACTAAAGCTGTAAGATGGGTGGGTTAGGTTTCTGTGAAAGCACTGAATGCTGCGGGTAGGACTCCCTCATAATTTCATAGAGAAAGTGACAATTAAAGCAAATCATGAAACACAAGTGATTAGAGAAAGTTACAGAAGTCATTTCACAAAGAGCAAAATTCAGAGACATCAATCTTTTTTTTTTTTTTTTTAAGATTTTTGTTTATTTGAAAGGCAGAGTTATGGCAACAGAAAGCGAGACAGAGAGAGCTCTTCCATCCATTGGTTCACCCCCTACATGTCCACATCAGCCAGGGCTGGGCCAGGCTGAAGCCAGGAGCCAGGAGCTTTGTCCTGGTCTCCCACATGGGTGCAGGGGCCCAAACACTTGTGCCATCTTCTGTTGCTTTCCCAGGTGCTAAAGCAGGGAGCTATATCTGAAGTGGAGCAGCCAGCACTAGACCTGGCACTCATATGGCATGCTGGCATTACAGACAGTGGCTTAACCCGCTGTGCCACAGCCCTGGCCCCAGAGACATCGTCCTCGATGGGACTAACATACGACAGCCCTTGACTCATTGAATGAATGATCAGAAGGGGAAGGGCTGGCACCGTGGCTCACTAGGCTAATCCTCCGCCTTGTGGCACCAGCACACCGGGTTCTAGTCCCGGTCGGGGCGCCGGATTCTGTCCCGGTTGCCCCTCTTCCAGGCCAGCTCTCTGCTATGGCCCAGGAGTGCAGTGGAGGATGGCCCAAGCACTTGGGCCCTGCACCCCATGGGAGACCAGAATAAGTACCTGGCTCCTGCCATCGGATCAGCGCGGTGCACTGGCCGCAGCATGCTGGCCGCGGTGGCCATTGGAGGGTGAACCAACGGCAAAAGAAGACCTTTCTCTCTGTCTCTCTCTCTCTCTCACTGTCCACTCTGCCTGTCAAAAAAGTAAAAAATAAATAAAAAAGAAGGGGAAGGAGTTGAGACTAAAAATTAAGGGCAGTGCATCAAAATGTGTAATAAAAGGAAGGCTCATAGCCGGCGCCGTGGCTCAATAGGCTAATCCTCCACCTTGCGGCGCCGGCACACCGGGTTCTAGTCCCGGTCGGGGCGCCGGATTCTGTCCCGGTTGCCCCTCTTCCAGGCCAGCCCTCTGCTGTGGCCAGGGAGTGCAGTGGAGGATGGCCCAGGTGCTTGGGCCCTGCACCCCATGGGAGACCAGGAAAACGCACCTGGATCCTGGCTCCTGCCATCGGATCAGCGCGGTGCGCCGGCTGCAGCGGCGGCCATTGGAGGGTGAACCAACGGCAAAGGAAGACCTTTCTCTCTCTGTCTCTCTCTCTGTCCACTCTGCCTATCAAAAATAAAAAATAAAAAAAAAATAAAAAAATAAAAAAAAAAAAAAGGAAGGCTCAGGATTCCAAATGCAAAGTGTGTGTGTACTGGGGCAAGTTCAATACTGTATAGCAGCTCCTCAATAAATATTCTTTCTTTTCCTAACTTGATGTGACCTCTGGTCTGATGAACTGTGGCCTGGAGTTCAGACAGTGTAAAAGCATTATCTACCTGGATATATGCCTATAGCACCACTGAGACTCAAACTGAAAGGAAGGGAGACATAGCAATCATGTCAATGCAGACTGGTAAACCAAAAATAAAACAGCTTGTCACTTTGGGGGAAAAGACTTTATTATATAATTTCCTTTGTAAAAAAAAAACCTGGAGTGATAGAATTATTATTTAAAGGTGAGGATTAAAAATAATTAAATTAATTGAGCTATATTATGTGTAAAATTTCATACCTCATGTTTTTTCTATTATAATTTATCATATATTTATTAGCAGTTCAGTTTCAGAAACACTGTCATATGGGAGTAGAGCATAAGGGAGATAGAGAAGAATGTATTCGACACAATCACAGCTTATAAAACCAAAAATCATAAGGACTGTATAGCAGAGTCTTATTTTTGTTAAATTCTAAGAAACAGTTTAGATATTTCAGGAACAGTTTTCTCTGGCCTTCTTTTAAGTACCTGGAGGTGTTTTCTTTGTTTTTAACAGTTTTGTTTATTTGCTGATTTGTTTAAAGGCAGAAATAGGCTTCATCTCCCAAATGCATGCAGTGACTCCAGGCTGGGCACTGAAGCTGCAAGACAGGCACTCAATTACTTGAACCATCCCTGCTGCCTTGCCAGGGTCTGCGTAGTAGGAACGGGAATTGGAAGCCGAGGTGGAGATCACACCTGGGTACTCTGACATCCAATGCAGGCATCTTAACCACTAGGCTCAATGCCTACCCCTGTTTTTTTTTTTTTTAAGGGAAGAAGATGTAACTTAAAAGTGAAAATGTGAACCTAGTCTAATTCCATACAAATGGGTATTTGCAGATATATTCTAGGTTATTACCAGGTCTTTGTAACTTGAAAACAAATAAAACAGATTTTCATTTCTATGGTGTTTCACAACAAACATAGTGCATTCACGGAGTCATCTCATTAACCCAGTGAGTGAGACCAATGATATACTTCTATTTTGTAGATGGCTACAACTGAGACTCAGGGACCTGAAGTGGCTCACTTACACTCACATAACAGATTCCATAGTGAGCCAGGTTGAAACACAAGGGGCCAGCATCCAGCCTCGAGTCTTCTCCCTTCACAGCAGCAGCTTATCCTGGCACAGAAGGGAATATTCTGCTGTCAGAGTATTAGAACATTTTCCTGAGCTCAGAGTAAGTCCACAGTACAGGTTTCTGCTAATTTGGCCTTTGATTTTTATTTTTAAAATTTTGATTTATTTAATAGAGAGAGGTGGCTGTTAGTGGGGGGAAGGGGAGACAACCCAGTGCTCAATCTGCTCATTCAGGCCCCAAATGCCCTCAAGGGCTAGAACTAGGCTTCCCCCTCCCATAAGCCAGGAGCCTGGAACGCAATGCAGATCTCCCAAGTAGGTGGCAGGTGCCTTACTACTTGAGCCATCATCTGCTGCCTCCCAGGGTCGGATTAATAGGAAGCTGAAGTCAGGAGCCAGAGGCAGGTATTGAACCCCGGCACTCCAATGTAAGACACAAACGTCTTAACCACTAGGCTGAATGCCTGCTCCTCTGATTATTTTGCTGCTGGACTTTCAGACTCACAGCTGATGGCAATTTGGTCAGATTAAGAGGGAAGACAGTCTGGCAAAGATGAAAGGGACATGGTCATGGTTAGGAGACACTTTTAAGTCCTTTCCTACTGAGCAAAACAGATTTAAATGGTTCATCTGGATACATAGCGTGTGGAAGTTCAATGTATACCACGGCCAAGAGACTTACAGTATTTACAAATATTTATAAATATCATTTATGATAGCTCCCCCCCCCATTCTCAAGAACATGGTGAGAAGTTGTTAGAAGTATTCAGGCTTTAAGTGCAGAGTCTCTAAATTAATTCATGCTCTTATTCCAGTTTCACAGCTGAGCTGTCTTGTAAATAAAACTTTTCCCTCATTAGAAATGAAACCAATTTTACCATTCCCTATAGGTCTCCTACTGCCTACACTGTGCGAGCTTCATAGACTGACTCTGAACTCAAGAGAATTTATACACAATTGGTGAATTAAACCAGAAATAATTTCCTGTGGCATTATGTGATCCCAAACAGTGAAAAAAAAATCCCTTAATTTATTTTACACTTAATTAGAAAAAAATTTATGACTTTTTTCCTAAGTATATAAAGCTTACTAGGCCAGTATTTACATTTTTTGTGCTGTATGGAGTATGTATCTATTTATTATGAAGCTGTGTTTTTATGCAGTTATTATATATTTGTGTATGTACCAGCCTTTTGATTTTTATTTACTTGTCTTTTTACCTCTGATGTTTGTCATTAATTTTGCCAGGGAGAAACATTAGTCTGTTGGAGTAAGGAAGTTTTTAGTCTGTCTTTGCCCACAAAGCTTCAGGGGAAGTAGCATTAAAACGGGGACTTGTCATGAAGCACTGCAGCAGAAAGAAAAACTGCCATCTACTGTCTTTATAGACCAGATTCTGCGACCTGCAGTTTCTCCTGTTTTTTTTTTTTTTTTTTAATAATGCCTTATAAATTAGAATTACTTGGCTCCTTATCACCTGAGAATTATCTGTAAATTTGGGTTGAGCCGGAGTCTTAGTTGAGAGTGTATGCATTTCCTTCTGCCAGGGCCTGGAGTATTAACAGACATTGTGAACTGCTGATGTTTTCAACCACCCTGGAATACGAAACTGGACTGCAAAGATGTGGGAGTGATGCTCCTTGCTCAGGAATCGTTAGGTGGTATTTTTTCTATATACT